TATTTATTGGTTGTGGCTTAATTTATTTAACTTACATGTAGAAATATGTATATTACTTTACTGTGGCCTCATTTGTTTTGATAGAAGCAATAAAATGAAGGTTCACTGTAGGCTTATTTAAGTAATCACCTCTGATCATCATAGCCCAACCCACTACCAATGTAGTATTCTCTATTTACATAATTCTGTTCTCTATAAGAAACAAATCTAATAGCAAAAACATTTAATTATAATATAAAAATAATGCAAACAATGAGATAAGCTGTGAAATCATTCTCTGCCCCCTTACTTAGAGGGTTAACTGCTTTATAGACTCTGAAGAAATTAGAATCTGATTCTCTCACTAATCCCCTCGGCATAGGAAGAGGGAGACAGTCATCTGAGTTTTATTTTTCTTTTTCATTGTGAATTTAACAATCATCAGTAAATATAAGAAACTATCATTACATTGTTAGTTTTGAAGAAATGTGTTAAATTTAACAGGCTAAATTAAAATTAACTAAACTGTTTTATTTGCCTGCGTCCCTTATGTCTGTACTACTTTTTGGTGGGGTTTTTTTTTCTGTGTAGTTTTTTAAATGTTTTGTTGGTGGCTGTTAGGGGGAGGGGCATAGCTATTACTACCCATTGACCTGCTACCAGTACTCCAAATAGAAATTCTTTTTTTTTTCTTTTGGCTAGGCTATGGGGTTAAGTGACTTGCCCATGGTTACACAGCTAGTAAGTGTTAAGTGTCTAAGGCCAGATTTGAATTTAGGTCCTCCTGACTTCAGGGCCGGTACTCTAACCACTGTGCCACCTCGCTGCCCTTAGAAATTCTTTCTTATAAGAAATAAGTATAGTCTGTCAAAGTGCCTTCTATGTGCCAGACACTGGAATAGGCACTAGATACAGAGACAAGAGTGAAACAGTCTTTGCCCTCAAAGATCTACGTTTTTTCAACACATCGGTCATGGCTGAGGAAGTTGGGGATTGAGGGAAAGGACCCATGGGTACCAAGTTATTTATAGCAGCACATTTTGTTGTAGCGAAGGACTGAGAGGGAAGGGAGAGAGGAAAACAAGGAAGAAGAGAAAGACAGAAGCAAAGAAGAAAAGATTGATTTAAATGGCTACTATGTATCAGGCACCTGGTAAGCTCTTTACAAATATCTCATTTGAGATCTACAACAACCATGAGAGGTCAATGCTATTATTACCCCCATTTCATAGATGAGAAAACTCAGGCAGACAAAGGTTAATTGACTTGTCCAAAGTCATACAGTAAACTGTCTGGGGCTAGATTTGAACTTAGGTCTTCCTGACTTCAGGCCCAGCACTCCATTCACTGTGTCACCTAGCTGCCACTAAAACAGCATCTAAATTAGGAGAGGAAGCAATTGTGATATGTGAATGCAAGGAGATATTATTGTGGTATAAAGAGTTATATATATGATTAATTAGAAGAAACATGGAAAGACTTGTATGAACTGTCACTTTAGAATTTATATTCCAGTGGTAAAAGCATAGGGTTCAGTGCCCTTTCCCTCATGAAATTCTACAGAAGTTTCTAGGGGCAAGTTGGAAGATGAGGACTAATAGTAATTAATAATAATAGCTGTACTGTGCTATAAGAAGTGATGAGCAGATAGATTTCAGAAAAACTTGGAAAGACTTATCTGAACTGATGCTGAGTGAAGTGAGCAGAACCTGGAGAACATTGTACATAGTAACAGCAGCATTGTGAGATGATCAACTATGATTGACTTAGCTCTTCTCAGCAATACAATGATCCAAGACAATTCCAAAAGACTTATGATGGAAAATGCTATCCACATCCAGAGAAAGAACTATGGTGTCTGAATGCAGATCAAAGCATACTATTTTCACTTTTTTGTTGTTTTTTTTTTGTTTGTTTGTTTTACATGGCTGTTCCCTTTTGTTGTGTTTCTTCTTTCACAACATGACTGATATGGAAATATGTTTTTAAAAAATAGAAAAAAAACAAAAAATAATAATAGCTATCAATTATATAGTGCTTTAAGGAACTGTATAAATATTATCTTATTTGATCTTCACAACAACCCTGGAAGGTAGGTACTATTATCCCCATTTTACAGATGATGAAACTGAGGCAGATAGAAGTTGTGACTTGCCCAGGGTCACATATGTAGCAAGGAGCTGAGGCCAGATTTGGACTCAAGTCTTTTTGACTCCAGATCGAGAATTCTATCCACTGTACCACCTAGCTACCAGAAGCCTCTCAGCTTTGCTCTGGGTTCATCAAGATTCCACTAGCACTCTTGGATTCAAGGACAATCAATCAATAAGCATTTATTAAGCACTTACTCTTTGCCAGACATGGTGGTGAGCGCCAGAGATATCAAGAAATACATTAACAATCTCTGCCTTCAAGCAGCTCCCTCTTTAATGGAGGAGAAGGCATGTCTATATGCTAGTCTATACAAGATACACATGGAGTAGATGGGAAGTAATTCTAGAGGGGAAGGCTGTGGTAGGTAGGACAATATGGTAGCATAGTTTCATTCATCTATCTTCTGGTTCCCTATTTCAGCCAACCACAGCCAAACCGATCCTTGATTTTCTTCCCTGACTCTGGTAGCCCTGCTTCTTTTGTGTTTTGTTTGTTTGTTTGTTTTGTTTTGTTTTGTTTTTTAGCCTTTTCCTTTTCACATACAGTTTCTCATCTTGATTTTCCAAGTTTTGGTCTTCTGACACAGTCCTCATTCAAACGCAAGTCTCCCAGGACTCTGACATTTTGGATCTTCCATCACTGAGCTCTATTCACTATTCCTTTATCTTAGTGTATGTGTGTGTATACTATATATACACACATACACCTATTTTATATATGTATATCATATTTTATGTATATCTATATGTCTCTATCTCATCCATCTATCCATCCATCTATCCATCCACCTATCCATCTATCTGTCTGTCTATATCTTTTCATACACACACACCCTTGAAACTTCACTGTAAAGCTCACTCCACTGAAAAGCTCACTCATTGTACATTTATTATATAAAGAATAAATTTTATTAAATTTTCCTCAATGTGGCATGCATAATGCAAAAAAACCTTATTATCTGTGAAGAGTTTTTTTTTTTGTGAAGAATTTTTTAGCAGGGAGTCCCATAGTGAGACCTGTGATTTAGAAAAAGGATGAGTTGGTGAGGGGAAAGGATGGATGGGTGGAGACCAACTAGGAAGCTATAGCAGCAATCCAGATGAAAAGTTATGAGGACCATGTGAGTAGAGAAAAAGGAACAGAGGCAAGAGATTACATGGAGGCTGAATTGATGAGTTGGCCAATGAATAGATATGGGAGATAAGGAAAAAAGTGAAGTTTACAAAACTAAGTGAGTGAAAATATGGTGCCACCCTCCACAGAAGTAGGGAAATTTGGACTAGGGTTGGCTTATTGGAGAAAGATAATGAGTTTCATTTTGAACGTGGTAAGTTTAAGGTGCCTAGGATCATCTAATTTGAGATATCCAGCGGGCACTTAATTGGTAATATAGGACTGGGTTGTAAGGAGACATTAAAGCTAAATGTATAGGTTTGGGAGTCACCTGCAAAGATTTGACCATTGAAGCCAATAACATTGGGAAGAGAGAAGGCTTAGAGAGAGAAAAGGGCCCAAGACAAAACCTTGGGGTAAGGGAAACCTAGTTATGATGCAGTACGTGGGTGACTGAAGAGCAATCACATAGGTAGAGGAAGTGGAAGAGAACAGTATCATGAAAAGCCAAAAAAGGAGAGAGGACTCAGTGAGAGGGGTTGTCAATAGTGTCAAAAGCTGTGGAGAGATCAGGAGGGCTAAGAACTGAGAAAAAACCACAGGTAAAGGATTTAGCTTTGAAGATGAGCAGAAGACACTCTTCCTCTGAGTCAGGAAGAAAGGAAGAGAGGATGGGTGAAGATACTGAAGAATTTGAAGGGATAGAGATACTCTAAGGCAAGAGTTCTTAACCTGGAGTTTGTGGACTTCTTTTTAATGCGAAAACTATTTCAGTATAATTGGTTTTCTTTATAATCCAAAAGGGGCCATGACACAAAATGGTTAATAACCCCTGCTCTAAGGTAAAGAGTAGATAATATAAGGGAGTCTAAGTTAGGGAGCGGAAGGGGTGGAGGGAGAGGAGGTTAGAGGGGAAATACAGACACACCAGTTAGGAAATTATTACCTATAAGGACTATGCTGGGAAATAAATAAGAGATAAATAATAGACTTGTTAAGGCAATGTAAAATGAAAGTATGAAGAAATAGTATATTAATAGCAGGCAACTGTATGTTCTGGGGCAAGGATAGAGATTAAAAAGACGGTAAAAGCAAAAAATATTATTTTGTTGGTAACGGATGTCAAACTAATATCCAGCTAGCTCAGGACTCTGTAATCTTTTTCTGATAAGGACTCACTTTGATTGCCTTACAGTCGTGATAACCTATGGCAGTGAGGCTCATGGTATAAGTCACTAACAGAAGTGAGGGATGTAGTAGAGGCTTGGTCAAGTAAAGCTCTAAGAACAGCCTCATTTGTTACATTTAAATTATTGGGGATCTCTGAGGTGACCTCTCTTCTCTCTTCCTGAATGGTTCCTTAATCACTTTTTCTGCAATTTGTGAAACCAGATGGTTAGTGCCTGTTTTTGCAAGCCAATGTTTGCCAAGTGTGTGTCCAGGCCTGTCATGATGTGCGTAACCTTATTACTAACAAAGCGAACATGTAAAGGGAAGGACTGAGCTTTAAATCTCAGTGTATGGTCACTTAAACAACCTGGAATGATTTCAGGACTTGGTTTTGCAGCAAAGGATGAAATCACGCAGATTCTTTTCTATGTGGTTTATATTTATGCATGCATTAGACACATCAGGACATTGTCCTCTCCCTAAATTATACAACGAAGAGACAGAAAAACCTGTATATCAGAAGCGTAACTATATTACACATGCCTGCTAATTCACTTCTATTTTTTTTTTCCTATTTGCTTTAGGATGTGATTGGCGGCATTCTGATTAGTGGATTGTTCATTGCTGTCTCTTATCCAGCATGGGACTTCATCGATCACCTGGAGTCTGCCAGTCTACTCTTCCCTATATGTATTCTCGTGGTGCCTTTCTTCTTATGTTACAACTACCCAGTATCGGATAACTATACTCCTACCAGAGCAGACACCACCACAATTCTAGCAGCTGGAGCTGGAGGAACCATTGGATTCTGGGTCAGTCCTTTTTTTAAATTGGTATCTGAGCCCACAGAGTCTGCCATACAAAGCATCCCACCACTCACAACCAAAATGTTAGGCTTGGGACTAACCAAATTTATGGTTGGAATTGTGGTGGTTTTCTTGGTTCGTCAACTGATGCAAAATCTTTCACTCCAAGTGCTTTACTCTTGGTTCAAGGTGGTCACCAGGAATAAGGAGGCCAGACGAAGACTGGAAATTGAAGTACCATACAAATTTGTAACATATTCTTCTGTTGGCATCTGTGCTACGGTATTTGTGCCAATGCTCCACCAGTTTTTGGGATTACTTTGAGCAATGTATCCTTGAAAGAAAGCCCATAGAGACAATGCCATCCTAGAAAGGCTATGCAATGAAGAAGACCCATCACAGTCACCATCCTTGCCGCCATCACCATCGCCACCATTGCCACCATCATCACCATCATCAGAGCCAGCCTGCCACCCTCTTCTTTCCTCTATGTCCACCACTCCCAAGAAAAGAAAAGCAAAAAAAAAAAAAGATATTTGTATGGCATGTGCCTTTCTTTTCTGGGTAATAATCAAAGTAAATGATGATGTGGCATGAGAAAAATATAATTCCTAGGATTTCTAGCTCATAAGTTCCATTACAGATTCATTCCAAAGTTAAACCTAGAATATATAGACTATAATCTTAGCTTTTTAGAATCCTTTGCTATTTTTCAGAAGAAATTATCTTATGACCTAACATGGTATAATATACCATCTTGTATAGTTGGGAAAGATTACACAAGCCTTGATTAGCTCCTGGAAAAGTCAGCTGGCATAGGGGAAGTCTAGGGGATATTCCTTCAGTCTTCATGTCTTCCAGAAAGACTGACCTGGATTCTCCAAATAGAATGGGAACTTCAGCTAGGGTGAAATAGTGGTGCCCCTTCCAAAGGCACTCTGTGGACAAAGTGGCATTAGTTGTCATTCCAAAGAAATTATAATAGCCTCGTATGACATTTCCTAAAGTTCACCACAAGATCATCATGATTAAACCTGGCTTTGAAGAAATTAAGTCTGTGGCAGGGTGTGAAGTCATGGGCAAGATCCGTATCTAGACAGTAAAAGTACAGATTTTTTTTTTTTAATGATTCCATACATTGTGACTTTGTTTAATCCTTAGGAATCCATTCTGAAGTAGAGCTTGGGCATCCATCTTCACATATCTCTTCCAAAGAATTCCAGAGAACAATCCTTCAGTTGATTGATGAATGTAATTAACTAGTTATTCCCTCCCAATTAGCAAAATGTAGGTTTACGATATCTATGCATGGAGCAGAAGCCTGACTACCACTGGACAGAACCTCAAGTCCTGGTGAGGCTGGGATAAATGACTGGGGTGAATATCCTTCTTTTTTCACCGTATTCCCTTATCTCAGGACTATTTTCAGGACCACATAGGAAAGACTTCAGACTATTTTGCAGAAAAGCAACACACAAACGTTAAAAGTGTTATTAGTATCGCTAAGTCAACACACAAACAAAAATCCTTTTCACCTGCTAGAAGTTCCTTAGCTCTTGAAGAGGAGATAAGATTGGATCAATTAAAAAAAGTTTACTCTTAAAAAAAAAAGTGTGCATGCATGCATGGATGGGGTGGGGGGAGTGTACAGTGAAAAAAAAAACAAAACAAAACACAGGCTATGGAGTATCTGGATTTAAATCCTGCCTTTGATTCTAATGCTACCTGTGTGACCCCTCTGAGACTGTTTCATCATCTCTAAAATAAGAGAGTTGGTCTAGATGTGCTCTGAGGAACCTTCCAGTTCTGGATCTGTGATCACATATGTACATATTTCATATATAATATGCATTTATATATGTGATATAGTTGTTTTTTTAATGAGGAAATGCCTGCTTTGCAGGGGCCATAGTGCCTCTCCCCACTCTTCTACCCACAAGCTTTTACCCAGCCTACCACATGGTAATACAAACATTTCTTGCTAGAAGCGAGCCCCACTCTCCTGTTTAAACATTTAGACAGTCTTGACTACACATGTATGATCTATGTCAAATTGATTGACTTCTCAATGTGGGGGGGGAGTGGAAGGGAGTAGAGAACTCAGAACTCAAAACTGGGAAAAAGAATGTTAAAATTGTTTTTAGTGTAAATGGGAAAAATAAAATATTAAATTAAAAAAACACTTAGACAAGCCTTCTGCTGCACAGGGTCTTAGGGATCCTATTGATCTGGCATAGGGCACACTTTATTCCCAAGCCTGGCTTCTAGAAAACCTGAGTGAAGCCTTTAACACTATTATTTTTCAGTGTTTACATAAACACATGCAAATTTTTTTCTTTAAAAAAAATACTTTGGGATATAGCCTGTGTTTAAGTTCCAGTCTTATTTAAACTCATTATAAAGCACTTAATCTGAAAACTGACAATCGCCTTTTCCTAATTTGAGTACCCTCAACCTTTTAGGGGGGACATTTTTTGGGGTTGTATGGAATACATTGATTTAAGCCAAAAAGGGTAGGGAAAATCCCTAACATCTTTCCGTGAATTGTTTTCTATGTATTTCTGGTAATCAGAAGGGAAGGAGCAAATGAGTTGCCACTTACCTATTTCAATAATCAATCATATGTTGAAATAGAACCGGTGGCAGCCACAGAGAGCACAGGAATCCTAATTCCCATGTGCTTCTGTCCTAAGATCTAATTGTTGTGTGACTTGATTGCAGCTGAATTTCTTTGGCTAAAAAAAAGTAGAAGATAATATTATGTAATATTTATTTAGATTTGTGAGAGTGCCCAAAGCTAATTAGTAGAAAGTAAACGTGTTTTGCTACCAAAGTGTTTCCCCCGCCCCCCACTTGCAGCTTTCTAAAATGTATTTGACAAAAGATGGCAATAAATTCAATTCAACCAAATAATATATGCAGGGCATTTGGCTAGACATTGGGAAAACAAAGACAAACATGATGTGAGATAATATATGCAAATATTATGCAAACCTTAAAGTGCTCTAATAAATGTTAAATATTAGAAAAAAAAAAGTCCCTGCCCTCAGGGAGCTTCTGTTGAGGGGCTACAAAGACACACAGGTAAGTAAATGCGAAGTGTATAAACAAATCGATGTGCATTCTCACTTTCATTAAACTTTTTTGTTTTTAGTTGCTATAATGTGAAAAATCTAAAGGTAACTGCTTGCTTTATGTACATTGTGCTTAATAAATGGGTCATATTTTATTTGACACGGTTAGGGCTTTCAGTAATCCAAGGGGTTAGCTATGGTTATCCCTATAAAAAGTTTGTTGCTCCAAAGATTGCTTTTAATAAATGGTATTCCCTTCCTCCTCTTAATATTTAATCTCTTCTCCCAGTTGCCTAGAATTGGATACTGAAGGGATTGAAAAGGACCCCTCAGGTCATCTGATCCACTCTGCTGTGGGGGTGCTAGATAGAGCCTTTTAAGCCCTCCAACTAATCTCTTCTGTGAGTGGTTTTACCTCTTTAAAACAACAACAAAACCCTCTCCATTGGGGGTGGGGAATCTAAGGCCTCCTTCTTTGGAATGCTACCATTTTCTCTCTGATAGCAGTGTGCCCCCTACTGGTGAGTCTTATTTAGCTTTCCCACTGGGTTTCTGTCCAGCCTTGGCTGAGTTTGTCCTCTAAAATTTAACCACCTTTTTGCAGCACTTGAATACTACAAATCCCTTGCAAATCTATCTCCCTTCTACAGTTTTCTCCCCCTATCTCCTCTTCCTTTCCCTGAGCAGGGGCGCCCTCCAATCCATCTCCTCCAAGTTCTGGGAACCTCCCAGAATCCTTAGCACATGTCACTTCTTGTCACTTTTACTCAACGTCCTGACACAAGACAGAATCCTAGGAAGTGAATAAACAGAGCAGGCATATGACCTTCAAAGGGTCGCTTGAGTAGGCCCAGAAGAAGCTGCACCACACTGAGCCCCAAAGCAACGTGGAGGCTCTCTACTTAGGGCTGAGGCAGTGAATTTGATTTGAAAATGACAGGCGTGCTTCCATAAATATAACCAGAACATGTGGTATTTACAAGTCAATCTGCTTTGCCTCTGTCTTTGGAGGACGTTCATCTGGTTGTTTATATACTGTATGTAAATTGTATTTTTTTTTTCCCCAAGAAAAAAAAGAGTCTTGCTGGTTTGACCCTTGACTGCATATTAAATGTTTTTGAAAGCCTGTGTTCTGCCTACTTAATTTCTCTCTAGACTGACTTCTCTGGGAGATCTTTAGAGCTGAGTAGAGAGGCTGAGATAAAAACAACTTTGGGACTCTAATTACTCCAGGATATCACACCTGAAGCTCTTATTTGAATTGGTCATAGTAGCTACAAGTTCACTTAACTGTTAAGTGAGTCAGTTAAGAGGGGAAAGGGAGGAAGGAGTGACAAACCCTTTCCTTCCTTCCCACCTCCTCAAGGACCATGATTTAGAATCTTAGATTTAGAGTTACAGGCAATTGCAGTTGAGGCAAACAGGGTGAAGTGACTTGCCCAGGGTCACGCATATAGTAATATGATAGCTCCATTTGAACACAGTGGATAGAGTACCTTGCTGACTCATCTTCCTGAGTTCAGATCTAGCCTCGGACACTTCCCAGCTGTGTGATCCTGGGCAAGTCACTTCACCTTGTTTGCCTCAGTTTCCTCATCTGTAAAATGAGCTGGAGAAGGAAATGGCAAACCACTCCAGTATCTTTGCCAAGAAAACCCCAACACAGAGTCAGGGAAAGTCAGACACAATTGAACAAATGACTGCAAAGATGATTTTTGCAAAGTGTAGGTCTGATCATATGACATTCTATTTCTTCCTCCCACCCCTCACCCCAGATGCTTTCTATTACCTTCAGAATCAAACCCTTCGTTTGGCATTTAAAACTCCTTGTAACCAGACCCCTTCCAAACTTTCCAATCTTTTAATGCTTTACTCCTCTCCATTCACTCTAGGGTCTAGCCACACTGGCCACCTAATACTCCATCTCTAGTCTCTGTCCCTCACACCTAGAATACTGGGCCCCTTCACCTTCACCTCTTAGTTTCTCTGGCTTCTTCCAGACTCCACTCAAATCCCACCTTCTGCAAGAAGCCAGGACCCCTGCTAGTATCTTTGCCTCTGAGAGCACCCTCCACCTACTCTCTCTCTGTGTCTTGAATATCTCCTAGTTACTTACATCATTAGAATGTGAGTTGTTAAGGTCAGGGAGCTTTGCCTTTCTTTGCATCTCCAGTACTTAGCACAGTGCCTGGCATGTAGTGCTTAATAAATGCTTGTTGAGCAGCTGATGACTAATCACACTATGTTAAAGCATGTAGAATGTACTCCGTCATGTTCCTGCTCCAAAAATGATCACTCTTGTCCTCGGGGAGGTAACACCACCACCAAGACTACTGTATCAACTCCCTCTGCACTAGGAGGGAAATCACTGGGGGTTGAGGAATGGTGTGCACACATTTTGAAAGTGAGAAAAGAGGACAGCATGGAGATTAGAGAAAGAAAAGAAAAAGGCTTGATAAGAATCACAGAATAAAATGTAGTTGGAAGAGATTGAGACATTAGTCTATCCCTTTGTCTTCAAGAAGGACCACACAACTGTCCCCAATAGATGATACTCTACCAGGTAGAACAGAATAATTAAGCATATTAATAAAAAGATTTGTTCTATAAAACTTGGACTCAGTCAAAAGGCTGCACTCAAGGACCTAGAAGGCCACATGTGGCCTCGAGGCCGTAAGTTCCCCACCCCTGCTCTACCCTGTTTCTGAAGACTTCTGGAAAACACTCCATAAACATCCAGCCCCCCCCCCCCCATATTTAGTAATCTACACTGTTGGGAATTTTGTCTCCATGTTGAATATAAAGCCCTAATATTATATCTTAATGTTACTTCCTCATCTTCTCTCAGAGATGGAGAGCTACCTAAGTAAGTCCTCATATATGAAGGCCACTATCATTAATCTTCTATTTGCCAGACTGAATAATTCCAGATTCCATAACTTTTCTTGCTAAATCTTATTTTTGAAAGATTTCATCCCCTCTGTGACTTTTTTTGAGCCTTCCTCAAATTTTCAGTGCACCTCCTTTAAGAAATATATGAAGCCAAAATTATCAATAGGTTCTAATTAAAGCCCTATGTATTATTGGTAAAGATTTACCCAGTGCTCATTTACAGAATGTATTCCTGAATAGTAACATGCAAATCATGCTGAATTTTAATTTATCTGTAGAGGTTAGGGAGGAAGGGAGGAATGGGCTGGCTCTTTAAAAGACATTGTGGCAAATTTCCACTTCTGTAAATGATGCTATTTTTTATGGGAACAACCCCCTGTTAACCTAGCCATTTCATATTTGTATCTAATGGATTTTCTTAGCACACCTATTTTACAAAATAAGTACATAATGGATGTGAATTAGGGTGATTAAAGTTGAATATAGCATGCAGAGAGACAGCAAGAATTTATATAGCACCTACTATGTGCCAGGCACAGTGCTAAGTGTGAGGTAGGTGCTATTATTATCTCCATTTACAGTTGAGGAAACTGAGGCAAACAGCAGTTAAGACACTTGCCCAGGGTCACATAGGTAGTATCTGAGGCTGGATTTAACTCACTTTCCTGGCTCCAGTG